ATATATAATCAAGTGATGATTAACATAATTTTTTCTTCAAAGAGGGGGATGGGAGTGTAAATGCTAGCACCTTTAAGGAGACACTTGAGAGACAGGGGGCGGGGAAGGTTTGAGAAACGGTGCAGAATCTTGTCAGGAGATTTGAAGTTATATGAACGTGGAGTTAAAACTAAGCTCTCGGGTTAAGGCCCTGACACACCAAACTGACACCAAAGAACACGTCCCGACGGACCCGATTGTTGTGTCGCCTCACGTCTCCTCTTGGCCAAAAAGTCGCACTGGAACACACCGCAAAGACTTCAGCCGACGGCCAAGTAGCACGTACGCACTGCGCATGCGTGAGTGGCAATAACTCTCCTTACCAGCAAGCGGCGGTAGTGTGTATTCGTCATTCAAAAGACGCAACTTCTGGTCCAGGCTCTCGTCATCTCACGCCTAGACTACTGCAGCTCCCTCCTGGCTGGTCTACCTGCATGTGCCATCCGACCTCTGCAGCTCATCCAGAATGCAGCGGCTCGTCTGGTCTTCAACCTTCCTAAATGTTCCCACACCACACCGCTCCTCCGCTCCCTTCACTGGCTTCCAGTAACTGCTAGAATCCACTTCAAGACACTGGTACTTGCGTACCATGCTGTGAATGGATCTGACCCTTCCTACATCCAGGACATGGTTAAACCATACACACCAGCACGTGCACTCCGCTCGGCATCAGCCAAACGGCTCGCTGCACCAGCACTGCGAGGGGGACCCAAGTTCCCATCAGCAAAAACACGTTGTTTGCTATCCTGGCTCCAAAATGGTGGAATGAGCTCCCCATTGACATCAGGACAGCAGAAAGCCTACACATCTTCCGGCGCAGACTAAAAAACTAATTTTGCAGACAGCCTTTTGCCGACAGCCTCCCGATTCAACATGTTGAATCTGGAGCGGAAGGTGTCGGCACGGCAGAAAAGACACGACGGTGCGGGACACACCAATCTGAGTAGGGCGACAGGACGCTCATCGACGGCCAGACATCTATTGGGCCTTTAGACTGACTCTCTCTGGACTGATTGACTCTGTCTGGATTTATTTATAGATTATGACTTTAATTGCCATTATAAAACAAGTTTTTATTTTCCATACTACGCTCATTTTTTAGAAAGGACAAACAAATTCAAATGAGCAACTTAGGCCTCACAATGTTAACACTGTACATCATTTTGAGTAAAACAAATATTTTAAATGTTTGTTTTGCAATTTTAATAAACCATCTTCATTCCTTTATTTCCTTCAGACAGCTTTGTTCAAAGACCCAAGATTAATAATCAGTAATACATAAATGTATGTGATGGAGGACAACGTAACTAACCCTATGCATCATAGCTGGAGAGACTCTATAATCTGCTATTTTGAAAAGTAAACAGTCGTAGCTTCCCTGGTAAGAGATTTCCTGGTTGGCAAAAATTGCAAAAACACTGGGAGGGTCACATTTCCACATGATGAGAGACGCCTTTTAAGCGGGTGTTTGTAAGAAATAAAACCCAGTAAATTGAAAAAAAACATGTGTTTGCATGCTAGCTAATCAAAAGTATTATATACTGTCACAAAAATGATATGTACCTATGCTATCTCTTATATCTGCACGGCTTTCCACTTGTCATACCAATACTGCAGATATTTTATTTTATTATATTTTAAGGGAGCCCGGCTCTGTTTTCTGACCCGGGCTAATTATGTCGAGGAGCTGTGATGTTCTTCCTCCTTCACACTCAGACCAGAGTCTTCTCCAGCGGCTGCGTCAGAGGAGCAGGCCATCAGGCGTCTGTGGACCTCCTTCATATCTAATGACGCCCTCCTGGACTGACCCAGCACTAGATCGCCCTTTGCTATTTACAGTAATTAGTCCAGAATGTGAGCTGTCAACATGCAAAAATTGTGCTAGTAGGCCCACAGTGCAGCACCCCCCCCCCCCCACAACACACTGTGCTCAACAACAAGCACCTTGCCTCGGCCACTGGAATGCATTAACTTTCCCTTCTCTCTTCTCCCTCGGCGACTCGTGTCAAATTCAGGGCCCTCAGAACAAAATCTTAATAATTAACTGGCAAATTTTAACATGATTGCTTGTGACACACCTACTCTGGTAATTATTGCTCTGAGGCCATGTGCTAATGAAATTAATGCATTCATTGCCCCAACAAATTAGCATAACTCATACAGATGGCCCACATTTGAGAGCACGCTGCAAAAAGGGGAAAACAACATTCAAGGAAAAGCAACATCAACGAGAAAAAAGAAGCTGGAAAATGAAACGGCCGGCACATCCATTTGGAGATTTTATGATGAGCACTGCTTGCTCAAAGTCTTAATGGCTAAAGCCTCGTAATGTTAACCAAGGGTGATTGCAGTCACACATTACAGAGTGATAGCAGCGCAAATGATTATCACTATCATCATTACAGTCATTGCGGATGTACATATACATCTCTCTGTGGACAAATATTAAATGGCCATGCCACCGCAGACATTAAAATGTTATTATACTGATGCATTAACTTACTACAGCAGAGTTCATATCAATATACAGTAGCCTCCCAACAATCACTCTCTAAATGGCAGCGCTGCATTCACCAGGCCTGCCACTAACCCCTGTTCATGACTCTCTGTGGGATGTCTCTACTCGCCATTAATAATTGATGACGTGCCTTCCGTACAATGGACGAAGACAAGTGCAATGGTCAGTTTGAGATGCTGAAAAAGTGCAAGAAATGTCTGCTGCTAGGTAAAAGAGGGGCAGAGATGGTGGTAATGCCTATAAAATGTGTTTGCCTGCAGCCAAATACTGACAGGGAAACAGGAAATAGTCAAAATGACTTCCTTTTCAACAACACTGAGGTACATTATTACAGGCAGGTGAGAGTCTGCAGGTTACCATCACAGATTTTGGTACAGTAGATATTCCAAAACCTCTATTGATCCACCATTGGGACCTCATGTTATACTGCAAATCAGTAAACCAAAGCAGATAGCCATTTAAGGTTATCTTAGGTTTTGTAAAATTCCACCGTGGAAACCATGGATGTATTAATGAGACGGGCAACATTTCCTCCACGATGTTTGCTGAGCTTTGTTTATCTCTGCTACGACTGAAACATTTGATTGGTATGTGGCTGAGGAAAAGAAGGAGAAAACAATAAGTGGCATGTTATTTAGATAATAGGCTGTTGCTATACGTTTTTCAGTCAGCGTTTTTTTTATGTCTTTTAATTTCCAAATATGAAAAAGAAACAAAAAGGCATGCACAGTTATGTGTTTAATTTATTTCAGAGAGGGCCTACACATGCCAGTGTATTTTTTTCTATTCATCATAATAGTTTTATTTTCTGAGTAAAGATTGCTGTAACATCTTACATTTTGCAACGTTTTTCTTTATTTTTGTTCTATAATTTCATAAATGCAACTAACTTGAGTATATATATAGTATAATAATGAAAACACTTTCTAAGCTGTGCTATCAAATATACGTTTTTGCAGCTCCAGAATTTGATGTGGTGGAAACGGGGGCAAAATGTATTTTTTGATAGTAAAGGTTGCCAGCCTCTGAGCTAGGTTAACTAGAAGCTAGGATAAGTCCTCAAAGACTGGAAGCTATCATGTAATGAGCCTTGCTAACTAACTTCCCTTTTCTGAGTGGAATACAAATTTAACAACACGATGTGTCTTTCCAAATATGAAATGCTGTAAACTAAGAGACAGGCATCTTGAAACGCTAACGATTGATAACCAACAAGAGGTGGGTTGATTTCCAGTTTTACCGGTAAAACTGGCTAACTAGCTTACAAGTCCGGAGTACGATCTAATATCTGTTTGGTTTTGTACAAACCGGTTGAATCAGCATAAGACAAAAACTTTTTTATCCTCTTTGGAAATATATGTGCAATAGCCAGAGTATCATTGTAGTTAATAATGACATGTGCAAAATTGACAAGAATGCAAAATGTAGTTATACTTAAAATCCTGTATCCTAAAACATACTTGACACCCGGTTGGTAAAACAACTCAGCCGTATGTAATAGAGACATGTTGATTTGTATAAAACACAGCATCACACTGTGCACCCATTGGTCTTTGACCCCAAATGGAGACACATTTTTCGATGAATAACAACAATCATCGGAGACTAAATGTTTCATTTAACTTCCATCAGCGTGTGAATGTGTGTATATCTTAAAATCCCAAAAGGTCGTTGTCAGAGTAACTGTGACATTTTCCTCCGCAGAGTGGATCCCTGCCATACATACACAGGAGAACAGACAGCAAAGATCACATTGTCAACCCGCCGCTGTAGAGCAAACAATGAATAAAACACTCAGTATCCAGCCTGTGCTTTGACCCACGCACACGCATGAATACATACAACACATCAACAGCACACTTCCTAATCTCACATGGTTAGTAATGCAGCCACCTTATCCAGCATGCAACCCCATCTGTGGTGACACATCAGCTCCACCATTTTATACGAATAAACTGGCAAACACAAGACACAATGTGTTGACGGGAAATTTGCATTAGAAACGTACCACAGGAAGGCGTGATTAATTTCTCCTCATGAAATGAATACAGATTCGGTCATTACATGGCTTGTATCCTTTGCCAAATATTGTAATGTTTCTGCTTTCTTTCTGCTGCAATAATAAGGACTATAAGATGGCTCATGAGCAACACAACTGCTGCAAAATCTGCAAAATCACAGAGCAAAACAAAGACATGATTGCTCATTAGTATTATGGATCTGTGCTGCTTGAATCTGCTTTGTGAGATGCAGGCACTAGCTAATGACTTAAACGGTGTTTGTTTAAATGCTTGCTACCAACATTTCACACAGTAAGATTAAAAGAATGAGACATCATCAGATCCCTCATTGAATTTGTATAATACCCTCCCTATTTGTATAATACCCTCCCTATTTGTATAATACCCTCCCTCTCCAAACACACACACATCAATATGCTTACCTTGGCTTTGCAGAGGATGCAGTGCAGTCTGTGTTCACTCCCACAGGCCTGCAAGCAAACAGCATTTCAAAGTGATTCAGAACAACATCCATAAAGCTGGACTTGTGTAGAATGACACGAGGGACAAATGAATTATCATTGTTTAGAAAATGTGATTGTGTCTTCAACCTAAAGTTCTTAAGGATGATAAACACAATTAAAAAAGGGAAACATACTTAGTTGGAAAAGAAATTCAGAAAACATTTCACATTGTTACGCTTTCACATTTTTTAGTTTTGTTGTGATTTTTAGGGCTTACAATCACCTTAACACCAAAAGTATTAATAATGATTATACTATGTGGTATTTAAATAGTGATTTTCCTAGTGCTCAAATAACTCTACAAGCATATAAGCAAAAATGAAAACACAATTTAAAAAACATTTATAAAAAAATGGAAAGGTCAAAGACATCTGGTAAGTCAGGTACGGATCATAGAGGCCTTTTTCTGTGTTATTTATGGTATTGATAATTATATGTAAAATGAATGCTGGTGTATGGTGAATAACACAGAAGGGAAATGCAAGCCCATTATGCTCTTAAAAAAATTAAATCATATATAAAGTATTTTTCCTTATTCTTCATCCCTTGTGTGTTTTGTCCTTGTTGTTGTGTTTTGCACCTCCAGGCTACTGTAGGTTTAGCAATTAATGAAAAGACATACATAACTAGCTGTTTGGTAATGCGCACACTTAATGTACACTTCACATGACAGAACTGCACATGGAACAACATAACGCTGGCAATAATCTCTGAGCTGGTGCTAAGTATGTAAAGATGCAAATAACAAGAAAAGCATTTGTACAATCAAACTGCCAAACACACACACACACACACACACACACACACACACACACACACACACACACACACACACACACACACACACACACACACACACACACACACACACGCACGGGCACTTCCTGATAGATGTTTATGGCATATCATTATAGAACACTGCTATTAGGCAATGTGATTTTATAAAGAGGACCATTGCCCCTGGCACTGTGGCCTGATTGCTGTGAGTGTTGTTCTAATGAATGTAAACCAAGTCTGTTTGCAGAGTTGAGAATTATCAACCCATGAGAGACTGAGTGGGGGGGGGGTGAACTCACTTTTCACACCATTGCAATGGAAACATGGGCATGCACACGTATAGGCAAGGGCATGCTTGCAGGTCAGCATGTTAGCCTGCGCTCTGCACAACATCTTATTTTTTACATATAAGATTCGCAGTGGGTGTATTTAATGGAGCTTTGAAAAAAACATTTAGCCTTCAGTATAGATTGAGGAACAATATTGTGTTGGATTTAAACATTTTGTGTTTGATATCTATCTTTTCTTAATAAATGTTGACTTTTGGAGTACAATGTTGTGGAGTTATTGGACATGTTGATAAGAGTAAGAAACAATCCTGTGCAGCAAGCACTAAAACATAATCATATCATGTTAATAATAATGCTTGTTCTGTAACTGTTCAGAAATTCAGGTTTTACCCGAACTAAGGAAAAAAGTAAGCTTCAGGCATTCAAATTTAGATTTAGAATGTGTTATTAAGCGTTTCACTTTCCTGTATAGCCCTAGTTCACACTTTTGTCATCGCTTCACTCTCTACTTAATTAATGCTATCTTCAGCTAGCAAGTTCTTAGCATTTCCAAAACCCCCCTCCTCATTCCCCCCACTCACTCCCATGTCTTTTATATCAGATGGATTGGGTTATATATTCCGAAAAGCATTTTTGGTGCAGAATCCCATTACCTTCAATAGAGAGAAACCAGATGTATAAAAATGAAAGAAATATGTATCTGTGGGGAAACTAAGTGTATACCATGACTCTCCTAAAGCCTGGTCCCAGCCCTGTATTGTCTCCAGCCGCGTTGTGTTGGGCAGTGAGACATACCAGGCTGGGCTTACAGTCCTCCCATGCCCTTGTACTTTGTGCTGCGAGGTTTCACCCCTCTAGGAATGCACTCCCTATAATGAGGGTCAGGGGTCAAAGTGCTGCTGCGCCTGCAGGCCGGGATCTCCCAGGCTCACTCAGTCACTGACTCTGTCCCTATATTTAAATCCTGCCTCAGGACATGTTTTTCAAAGGGCATCTCCTAACTAGTTCCTGGTTACTAATTAGTTTTGTGCCATGCTATTTGTCTTTGGGAACCTGAAATGAGGAAGGAGAGGAGGGGGGGCACAAATGAGTCTAAAAAAAGATAGCGTATGGTTGGCCTCAGTGCTGATTATTATCATTCAGATAGTCCTCTGCTGCAAACACTGAAGTATGCATCAACAGTTGTGGAAATGAATACCAGTGCTGCATTGTTGTGTTTGAATTCAGCCTTTCTGCTGTTTAGTGACAACATCTGTGTCATTCTGTTGTGGCTGAAATTAAATAAGAACGTTGAATTTGCCCTTCTTTGTTCGGCCTGCTTTTAGGAGTGCTAACGGTGCATGCTATCACTCCCAGCTGGCTAGCTTTCTCTCTCGCAAGTCAAATCATTATTGGATTACATTTTCTGGCTTCATAAAATGCGGTTAAGAGGCACTTTAGACATATGGGCATGACCTGCTTTCCAGAGATGGCTATCAGAGCAAAAGTGACAGGTCAATTGCTGATTTCTGTTCTGTAAAAGGGAAAGGGCCTCCCTACCCTGAGCACTCTAAAAGGTCGCACGCTCTCTCTCTCCCTCTCTATTTCTCTCCGTCTGCTTCTCACACACACAAAAACTAAAGTAGTCTCGCAGCATCGGCACACACTCAGCACAGAGCCGAGTTCTGTGGGAGTGAGTGTGTGTGTGCGTGCCTGCTTCAGGAGCCTGAGCGTGTGTGTCTGTATATAATTGTATAGTGGGAAGACACACACTTAATGGAAGTGGCTCTTCACTCTGACAGCTGGGTGGTGCAGATGAAAGGTCTGCTGTAGCATGTTGTCTACCACTTGTGGAGTATCCAAAGAGAGTGGACGGCACAACAGCAAACCACTCAACTGCAGACGCTCCATTTATCCTTAATTAATATACAATTATTGCATGTCATTATAACTCACTCACTCACTTACATATTATATGTACAGTGTAGTGACTTATGGATGGTTTGTTCTGATACCTCAACATTGAAGATATTGTACAGTCCAAAAGTGCTTAAGAGACACAGATTGACTAGAGAGGCAAAGAGCAGATTCACTGAATTTAATCCAAAGCTCAAGGGTTTTATATTGTACTTCCCATATGCTTGTTGAATTGCGCTATAAAGATTGAATATATACTGTTCAATATAAGTGAAGCAGATTTATTGAATATCACGACAATAGAGAGGTGCAGTGATGTATTTATGACATCTTTATTTCGGACGATCCGGACGTTAGCATCACAAGGGCTCACTCCACAAAGAGCTAACGGGATTTCTCCATTGGATTCTGGAATATCGCAGAAAATAAGATCTGTGGCAAACACACACTTGTTAATGATACTTGCACATTCACCATGTCATTTATGTCGTACAGTAAAACAAAACATGTTAGTCTCCTACATCATCATCATCATCGTCGGCTCACTACACTAAACAAGCCTGTTTGCTATCCTGGCTCCTGTACTCAGCACTTTGGCTTAAAAGTGGAAGGTTTGGCTGAAGTTGGAGCTGATCCAGAAGCACCTAATCTGGTTCTGTTTACAGGTACCTGCTGGATTCTTGCTGTTGAGTTGTTTCCTTCATGGTTGAATGTACTTATTTAGCATAAGCTACATGAAATGTAATGGAACCACAGACCTTTTTCTGGAATCTAACCAAATACATATACATACAAATATTGATGTAGAGATGAGGAAGCCTTAAAGTGCAAAACTTTTAACACATTTCTGGGTTTAGGACTCATTCCTGCACCACTGAAGTATCTATATGAAACAAGTGCCCTTAATTCTGGATACTTCCTATAAAGCAACCCAGTAGCATCTCTCAGATATTCCCTGCATGTTAAATGCCAACACAACTCCATGCCCTCAGTTCAGATACTTCCATTAGTACACTGTGTGTGCACTGTGTTCTTATTGTGTCGTGAGTGAATCTCGACTGGGTAGTGTTTTCTCAAATCAAACACAGCTGTTGTGCACTTAAATCTCAAAGCCTGAGCCTAGACTACTCTGATGACCTCATCAGGGTCATTTTCTGCAGAGCTGACCCCCCCTCAGGTCCCCCACACTGACATAAGACTATATACAACTGTTTTCACAGGCTGCGTAGTAATCCTCCTGACTAGTAACTCATTTTGACCTGAGTAATTGGTGGATTAGCAACTACAGCATTCATTGGAGTGTTGTTTCTACTTTCTCCATAACTTACTCTCTGTTTAGGTCTGCTTTTGTCTTTACCTCTTCCGTTTCTAAACGCTCCGTTATGTTCATCAGCTAGTTGCTAATTCTGTCAATCGGTTGTTTTTTGCTAATTATTTACAATGGGTTTGTCCATACTTTACTACTACTAAACTTAGGTTGCCAAAGTTGTAAACCAAAACAGCACTTTTGTAGGGTGTAAAACCAACACAATGAGCTAAAAGAGACTACACATCTCCATTTGGGCAAGGGGTACAGCAGGGTTGGGGGATAATTCTCTATGGAGTCATGACTAAGAGTGATGCTTTTAATATTAAATATAGTCATTTGATCTATTCTTGATATAGAAAATGTATTAGTGCATATCTGATGTGCAGAATAACGTGTGTTGTGATGCAGTGCTTTCACCATGTACTTTTGATACCATAATGTGATTTTTATTAAAAAAAGAAAGCACACTGAACACAAAAGGCATAAATAAGAAAAATAATGAGTTTCCTACTGTTTTAACTAACATAAAAATCCCTGATATCGTCTTTTTTATAATGTGTTCATCACAAGTTGCCATCGCAATGACGATACAAATATAATAGATATTGCTCAGCCCTTATTTGCATATGGAGGTTGGTAGGTTGATCAATTGCAGCAGAGAGGTAACTCTGCAGTTTAATTTAAATTCATCACATCAACACAACTTTTTAGTACATTTTAAACTTTTTTTATTTCTGTGAATAAAACTTATACAAGAGGTAATTATACATGTTTGCAGTTCTGGCAGCAGCAGCTTGTTGGGAATGGACGGTGGAAGAGTAATTAGCATGAGCAGCAATAAGCACCATGACTGAACAGAAAGAGAGATGCATGCCACCAGAAGCTAACATTTCATTCACGGAGAAGAGTGTAAAGTGATCTTTTGGGAGCCCCATCAGTGACCGCTGTATCAGTAGCTGGTTCAAGGGCTCTACACATGTAAATGAGCCATCCTGCGGTGGGTGACAGGTGTCGGGTGCATGATAGCTTCCTGGACTCCTGCCAGTCCATTATGAGCCACTTCTCACAGTTTCAGCTGTGCTTCAACTCTGTCACCATGACGTGTTATCATTGTTAGCAACCCTCATTAAAACTAATTGGTATTGCTGTTTGAAAGGTAGCTCTTTACCTTGAGGCAAACAGCTACGTTTTGTCTCAATAAGGAATGCTAACATGGCAAACACATTTACTCACTGTTGGAAGACCAACAAAGACATTTTCTTCCTTCAAATTCTGACAAATGGCTGATGAGGAGAGCAAGCCAGACTGAAATATCAAGGTTCCCCACATGGAGAGTCATTCTTACCTTCTGGATCCAGGTGGACAGACACACATGATGGGAAAGTAAATTCTTGCAGTCACAGAAATTCCTCAGTGGGTCACTGGCTCGATGTGCAACATCCCTGCATATAAAGCACTCTGACGTCTCTGTGGAGGAAGAGGAGATGGAGGCGATGAATGGTGGAGCACTGTGTTCACTTTGCATCCAAGGCTATAGTTCCAACTCAAACGTATGTTCTCGCTTATATTGCAACTTATTCTGCATACAAAGCACTGTTGCTCCCTTAATCATGAGACCTTTATTTCATAAAATAAATGGTAAATCTGGGACTGTTTATTACATTTTATTTTAATTCTAACTTGTAGTTTCTTATTCAATTTGAATGTTTCTTTTCTTTAGAGATACTGTATGTTATCTATTATTCTATCCATCCATTTCAAATATTCTGCTTTTCCATGAGCAGACCGCATTTATTTTGCCATTGGTGTAAACTTAGAGCATTGATTCATGATGGCTCAACTGTCCCCGGTTAAGAAAAGAAGAAGAGAACAAGATCAGGAAAGAGGTTTCTAGACAGAGAGAGTTGGTCAACAGAAGAAGAGAAACAGGAAGTAAACGGGAACACAGTTTGTGCTCTGGCGCAGTTCCAGCCGTTGGTACAGTGGAACGCACTATTTTCAGAAGCTATACAATTATTTTTAATTAAAAAAATGAAAATGTGGTCTTTATTGTGAATAAAGTTGTTGGTTTATTTAGTACGTACGCATGTTCATTTCATTAATGAATGGCTCACTGCACATTATCCTTTACAATATCTTTTACTTATTTTGCAAAACATTTTTTCAATAAAATTAGATTTAAAGAGGGTTAACAAAATGTGTTTACACCTGCTCTGATGTCAGACTGAGTTTGGCAACCGGGAGAAAAGCAGGACCAGGAGTTGTTAATTGTTAACGACAACACGTTGCGTGCTGCCCTCACAACTCAGAACAGCGGCTTTGAACTCAAAGCTGAAACACTCCTTATATCTCGCAGTAAAATCATCCGTCCCGGTTCAATTAGGAGTGGACATAAAAGGTAAGCCGTGGATAGCATCACGCTAGCTGCCATACATGTGGTCCTCCAGCCCGGGGCGGGGGTTAGCCACAGAAAGCAGCATCTCAGATTGATCAGAAACCTCCTTTAGTGAGGATTCCCATACAGGAGCTTTGAAGCTAAACATTGGACAGTAGCTAGGAGCCACATTTGTTGGTTTCATCCCATAACAGCGTGGGGAGGCAGCAGTGAGGGCTAGCTGTCATCTGTGTGGGATAAACTGCTGCCTCAGAAGCTCCTGTCTCTTTTGGGCCTTTAGATGAACCAGATTGCTCCAGGTGAAAATCCATCTTCAGATGAAAAATCTTTTAATCAAAGGGTGGGTTTTTAATGTAGCCCATCAGATTCTGTGTAAGCAGTTTTTATTACTGACCAGGCATATATCTCACTGAGCATTAATGTCTCTGAGACAAGCTGTGAAACTGAAAAAAGACCACATTAACTTCTTGTCTCAAGACACATTTTGGGTAAAGTCAAGACTTTTGAGATGAATGTGTGGTGCCACAACTTTAGCTACGTGTAACTGACACCAGACTCCAGAGGCCTGTACTACGAAGCCGGATTTTCGCTTAGCGAGCTAACTTCAGGGAAAACTCGGGGTTTCCGGTCCTACGACGCTGGTTCTCTTTTTAGCGGGCTAGATAACTTATTCTGAACGGCTAGCCTCCGGAGCAGGATAGGTTCCAGGATAAAAGCATTGCCTGCTGACCAATCAGAGCTCAGTGTGCGGAGTTTAAAGCGATCAATTCATATGACAGGAGGAGAAAGGAAATACAGTTTAAACTGCCGTTGCAGGAAAGATGGCCGGCCAAAATCACCGACTGTGTGAACGTGAACATTAATAGAATATCACCTCCCATCTTCAGAGCAATCTGACTATTATAACATTAGCGTTAAGAAAGCTTACTTAAATATCTGCCACAACATAAGTAACCGGATCAAAGTAACATTACGTACAGTCCGCGGCACTGTGAGTGCAGACGTCGATGTGTGCCATTATCATTCATATCATATCACATCATAATGTATCATATATTTCCTTATCTGAGTCAGCTTCTTGAGCCGTATCTGGCCGTGCAACACTCACAGTGTCACATACTGTATGCAGAAGTATTATTTTAAGCAACACATTAAGTTGACGAAACACTCGAGTCAAATGTAATTAAAGTCAGATCGTGTCTTGGACGGGGCAGTGATTTCATAAACCTGTTAATGTACGCATTCAAACACTTTTTCTTTTACCAGCTGTATTCACCTTGCAGGTGCAGCTATGTGGCTTTTATCCTGGATAAAGTGTTTAAGTCATGGATGTTTAAAGTTTAATTTCTTCATATTTGACTAATATTAAAGTTGACTTTTCATTCAGGAAGTATGACGCTGCGCTGTCAGTACGTTTGTCCATGTTTGTGATTGGTCGAATGCTCCAAATACCACCCCTTTCATGTGAACGCGCACCTAACTAGATAGGACACGGCTGGCTTGAGCGATCCACTTAACCAGCGTCGTAGGACCGCTTAGCGAGAGCGCGTATGTTTTGGATTAGGCCAACCGGCTAACTCAAACATATCCAGGTTAGGTTGAACCGGCTTCGTAGTACAGGCCTCAGGCCTCCTATGGAAATCATTCTAGTGTGTGTCAACATTCATATGCCTGCCTCCTTTTCGTCTCTCTGTCTGACAAAATATTAAGTTTAGTTGGTTTTCACTCATTGTCAAAATAACTTTGTGTGTGTTGAAGAGTTAGCAGAAAATAATGGAGCCATGCAGAGACACACATGCAGCACGACAGTGGAGCTAACAGGCAGTCTTGGTGTTTCAACAGCCTGACCGAAAATATTTCCAAAGTTACAGTGATGGCAGGTTCACCAATTATCCACACAAGTCCTTTTTTAAATTTCATTCCCCCGAATCTGTACTGCTTTTACGATCATTATGGCAAGCCCCGAGGCACTTCTGGAGCTAAGTCACAGATGCACTGCCTCTCGGTAAATAACATGAAAACAACAATACAACAGAGATGTAAACAACGTGGCGCGTCAATTCGTAGCTGAGCTGACACGTCTGCGTGATCTGTGACATCCATAATTAACTGTCAGCAGTGTCAGTGTTCAGCAGCGTTTCACATGAAGGTGAGTGCTCCACTAACTGGCTGAAGTCCCCCCCCCCCTCAACGCACGTTTTAACAGCTAACCAAGGTTCCTGTGCAGCAGCAGCAGGCTGATGTACTGAAACTCAGTGTGTCAGCTGCCGCAGATCTCCCACTATCACAGAGCAGAATGTACCAACATGAACTCTGTCAGGAGTGTGTTTACACTACGTGACTGTCTGAAAGTGGCTTTAGCGCTGGGCGTCTGTCAGTGACGTTTTAATTACCTGCTGCACTCTCACAGACATTCATCACAAGAAAGGAAACCAAAGTAAGCTGTAATCTGATTCAGTGTTATAAGAAGAGTTTCAAACACTGTACAGTGCACTATACAGTAAACAAATGCCAGATTGAGATGATTTAATTGTCCTTTGCATTGCTAACGACCTCATTAACAGAAGAATGATGGGAAATCAGCATGGTCTGGGCAAGGAACCGCCTGTGTGACAGCCATCTGGCTGCAGTGGGGGGTGGGTAGAGTGGGGGTTGGGGGCTGGTAAGTTAACACCACGGCCTTCACCACTTCCAGGCGCAGGCTTACAGCACCTCTAGATGGAAGCAGTTATTACTGTTTTACTAAGCAATCAGAATAACAATTCTGTTTTTCTGTTTGTTTATTTGAACAATAATAAGATCCAGATTAAAGAATAAATGCATCCACTGAACATATTTTGACATTTTAACTGATATAAAATTAATAAAGGGAAAAAAAGGAGGGATAATATATCCAGGGTGGATTTACTTCATGTTTTCTCGGTCATTTTTAATTTAAGTCTTTGGGTAAGTATGACTGGTACTATATTTATTAAGCATGGAATCAGTCCTTATTGGACAAAAAAGAGCGAATGATCTCGGCATAATTTGAGGTGACTTCTAATCTTAAAATGATAACAACGGAACATTTCCGCCCTTATCATATCAAATAATATACAGATTAATTCATCTCCACAAGCTGCATTCATGGAAGGTGTGTGTTATTCAACTATGTATATTGAAAATGGGCGATGACTGTCCTTCACTGTTTAAGCGATGTGTCCATATTGTTACATTACATTTCCCAAGACATGGGGACAGTACAGAAAAACAGCAAGCGCTCATATGTTAAAAGTCATACAATAATTGAATTTCCCAAAAGTGACATTGATCTCCATTGATGAATCCATTCACTGATTGGTAGTGTACGATCATCAATGCACATTGAAAAGAAAATGGATACAAATAATCCTCTTCAAGGTACGTAATTAGATTTTCTAAACTGAAAAGATGTGCCCTTAAAAATAATAAGTTTGTCACATTACAGTTACATATTCATTGTTGTTTTAATGTCTAAAATATAAAAGTGTCTTAACCCCCTTGTATTTTATTAAGAAAATGTTAGTTGATAAACATCTAACTTTTTGGATTGAATATTATACTGTCATGGAACTTGTGTTTCACACCATTTATAACTATAATATTTTGAATTGTGCATTTATTTATTAAGCCACACAACTTGCTTGCATCAGTTTCCTTGTGTGCAGTCTATTATGTAAATGGCTTACTAATTTAGAAAATGCAATTAAGCTATTCAGGATAGCTACTAATTAATTGTGGCATATTTGCATATATTAATTAACTGAGCTACCAATAATATTGGATCATCTTCATTGTATTCACATTTGAGTGTTTGCATGTAAAACAGATGGTTTCTGCTTTTCTAATGTCATCACTTCATAGATGTAAGACTTCCAGAAAACTGCAATACATCATCAGGCCAGCAGCATCACTCGATGTTAAAGACCTGTGTTTCTCATGAAATGCATGATGGGAATACATACCGCTGGATAAAGTCCTGCATGACTCTGCTGAGGACAGTGTTTGGTACTCACTGCCCATACTTCACTTCTGGTTGGGGTTGAGAGATCTCTTCCACTGACTTCTGAGTACTTCCAGATACCGGCAGTTTCTTCCACTTCCTGTTAACATTCCTCTGTTTTCTCTCGCCCGGGTTAGACACAAAGTGTCAAATCAACTTGTCAAAACTACTCCAGCACTGAACGCTCTTGTTTTTGCTCTTGCTCTCTGTTTTTGTTTTTGAGGAAGTTATAAAAACAGGCAGCCAATCACAGCTGCACCCGGGAGCATGCCAGGACAGGAAGCTGAATGGAAAAACAGAGAAAGGTTTCTGGTGAACTCAGAGCATTTCCTGTCCTGACTGTCGAACCACTCATGTTTCAAGAGTGAGAATGAGATGTTTGTAAATCACCACAAAGCTACATGCATTGTTTTGTTTAGGTAGAGAAGTGCAAGCGTTACAAGATGTCATGATGGAGGAGGAGCATGTACTGTATAGCATGCTTTCTTAAAAACACCCCAGTGTGTTGCAACACGGTGCACTCTCACTGCTGGGAAATGACACACACATCTTGGAATTTCCCCCACACATCTTTCTGCATAGTAACTGCAGAATGGAAAGTTCCAAAATGACAGTTATGACATCTTTGTGTCACCTAATCACATGTTCATGGCTTAGTGGGCTTTTCACAATATATACAGTAGGTCAACATTTATTTAAAGCTTAAAGAATCAAATGATCTTCGTTAAGAACCTAAATAGTCCTAAATGCATGAACGGCCAACAAAATGTAATACATACTGTATCATACAAAAATCTCCTTAATTATTTTAAAACAAATATTTAGAGGGAAAAATAAGACAGTAATGTATACTCTCAGTGCATGGAGGCTTAATAAATAGAAAAAAAGAATATCACGTCCAAAATGTAAAAGCCAAAACTACATCACATCCCACATGTAATCTTCTTTTTTTTCATCAGTTTCCTGGTTGAAGCTGCAGCCCCCCCAACCCTGTCTCCTAAAAATTACGTTCCCACAGAACTAAACTGCATTCTCAATTACGTTTAGCTAGAAACGTATTCTCTCCCACGTGACGTTTGTTATGAACGTATCTCAAATACGTTTATTTTCTACATATCTTCTAGAAACATATTTTCTCCCACGTTACGTTTGTTATTAACTTATCTCAAATACGTTTATTTTCGACATATCTTCGAGAAACATATTTTCTCCCACTTTACGTTTGTTATGAACTTATCTCAAATACGTTTATTTTCTACATATCTTCTAGAAACATATTTTCTCCCACGTTACGTTTGTTATTAACTTATCTCAAATACGTTTATTTTCGACATATCTTCGAGAAACATATTTTCTCCCACTTTACGTTTGTTATGAACTTATCTCAAATACGTTTATTTTCTACATATCTTTGCCATTTATTGTCTTGCTTATAATAATGATAATAGTCATTTATAAATATCATTTTAGAGCACACATTTGAAATCGACGATCGGGCTCGATATCCTATGGTTAAATTAAAATCAGTAGGCGAGGCTGTAATTTCGCCAGCTGCGAGGCAGAAAATAATAGTTTTAACATGCCAAAAAGCTGCTGTGTCGTTTATTGCACCTCAAACATTAAAACAAATCCAGAGTTACGTGTTTCTGTACTTCCTCTAAGAAGAAAGGACAGTATACAACAGAAGAGCTCTGTGGCTTCAGGCTTGATCGCCGTTCAAATGACAGCTGGTTTCCCCAAAAGTGGACGGGGCTGTAAAGTGACGTAGGAAAGATCCTCAGCTCGCTGATTGGATGTTTTAGCCGCAATGCACGTCGGGATATGGTGTTAATGCGATATGAAATCCGAAAAAAAAATCAGAGTTTAGGATGGCCGAAGACACTACACTACCCATAATCCCCAGCTATCGTTTGGGACTACAGTCCCGTTGACAAACCCCGTGATTAATGTTCAAGCTCTGGGATTGGATGTTGGAGTGGCAGTGCGCCAAGGTTACGCCGAGCGCCAAACAGCTCTTTGAAATGGAACGAAACCACGGCAGACTTTCCAAAACTGGACTCGAACGCCCCCCCAGAACTACACATGCTGGCTATTGTGTTTCGCAACATGTTCTATGGCACGTCTCTACTGGGAATTGTAGTTTTAAAAGACGTTTTCGTTTTTCCCAAAATTAGAAGTTGACAGTATTAAACTGTGTACAGCCCTGGAGGTTTAGGGGATAGGAAACAAATTGGTGTGTACAAATGTAAAACATGTAATTAATAAATGGGTGAAAATCGCTTGTGTCCATAATGGGAAGCATTAATATATACCCACATGCCAGCTCATTGTTACTTTGTAATTCTACTCCACTACAATTCAGAGGTTAACCTGGTATTTTTACTCCACTACATTTATTTTAGTTACTTTGCAGATTCTGATTAATGATGTGAAATATAAACAACCCTTAAAGCAGACTTTAGTTACACCTGAGTAAAATTCAGGGAAAGGTGATTGTCAAGTGCCAACAATCAAGAGAGATATTAGTTGGTGCTTGAGAAGACTAAACATTTATCTGCAGATCTCAATAAAGTATATTCATTACTCGTTATTCTCTACTAATAGTTAATTAAAAACTGTATATAATGGCTATTTTGCATATCCCTTTCAAGATTCTCTAAGGTTTATTGACATATCATATACACAACTATGTTGAAGTTATGCAATTAATGAAAAACTTGGGTCACAGGTTCCTCAACAGTGCATTACAAGACATCTATCAATATGTGTGTATACCTCCACCATTAAACTCAAATTCTGCACATGTCTTATACTATCTACATACATAAGAGTATAATTAATATATATATATAATATGAATTAAAATAAGTGCTTCAACACAGTTAACATTGCAGGAAAGCAATATATTAGACGTTAAGTACTTTGTCAGGCTTAATATTTATCTGTAGATAGATACCCCCAAAGCTTTTTTCTTATTTGAAAGAAGACCTTAACCTAAAGTATTCTTTAATGTGTTAATAAAGGTTAATTAGTTTGTCTGTTTTGCACATCGTCATATTAATATCTTTGTACATCCGGCACTAAACAGTTTTATTGTAGAGATCACTTACAGTATCTTCTTGATTTTTTATATTCTATATTTCTATCATTGACCTTCTACTTTCCCCCTATGAAAGTATGTACTCTTAATATTTTATTCATCAAATAACATTATTCAACAAAAATAACATTATTCAACAAAAATAATTAAATAACGTGCTTTAACCATTAGGCGGTGCACACAAGGTACACACAGCATGCAATGCCATAATAACTTTGTATTATTAGTGTAGGACACTTATGTATGTATAACATCTGAAGATGTGTAGTTTTATTCATGTTTTTACATAATTGTACAGGATATTGCTATATTATTTCACATGTTTTACTTCTACACATTAATATCTGATTTGTAAAACATCATAGACAGAAAGGTATATCCGTCATTTAATGGTAAGCTATTGAAATTGTGATTCCATAGATGTGTCTCCCATCACCCAAATCCCCTGACTATTCTCTCAACTCAGTATTTACATTCTTATATTCAAAGAAAATCAGTAATATCTTTAAAAACTACAAGTCCTTTTCTATCAGCTGTGCACCGTTATGGTGTAAATATAACCTATCTACCAATTGGATCAAATATAAAAGTCAGCCGAATTAGTATTGATACTGCAAGGAGACGTATTGTGTGAAGAGAAATGTAAGATGTTGTTTAATTGCTGATATATTTATGATCCACGTCACGTATTCAGTTTCGGCGGCATTTCTTCCAGTTTGTCCAGAAGTCTTCTCATCAGGGCTCTATAAATAAAGAACTACGGCAGATGTGTAATATTGAATGCAGCCGAACCGTGTATTACAATGCCGTTATGTGATGACTTCCAAAGAGAAAAGCAAGAACACTCGGAATAAAGTATTATTTTTTTTTTTTTTTTAATGTTTTCGGATTTCACATCGCATAAACACCATATCCCAACGTGCATTGCGGCTAAAACATCCAATCAGCGAGCTGAGGATCTTTCCTACGTCTGTTTCCGGTATTGTTCCTGTAATGAGAGTTCACATTTATGCTACATTGAAGGGTGGAATTGACTACACATCTTCAGAAACATACATTGCTTCAGATATACTGTAACTCATAGCAATATTGTAACCATTAAGAAAAGCCAACTGCATTAAAAACCCAGTTAACAAACACTAGGTAAAGTATTTTTCCTTCAGTAATGAAGATGTAATTCCAATGTAGACACACCTGGGGTCGCTGTTCAGTCTGTTACGCTGAGCAATGCATTGTCTGGAACGTAAAAGGGACGAAGGAGACAAAGTGAAGTGACGTACTTCCGGTTCAATGTGAAAACATTCCCAGTTAAACAACAGAAACAAATCGCTTAATAAAAAGATAAAACACTGGCATGTAATCTACGTTAGAATAAATAGAATGGTTTTGAATAATAGATGAGAGTAAAATCTACGTCACTTTACAGCCCCGCCCACTTTTGGGGAAACCAACGCTGTCATTTGAACGGCGATCAAGCCTGAAGCCACAGAGCTCTTCTGCTGTCCTTAGAGGAAGTTTGAGGTGTTTGAGGTGCAATAAACGACACAGCAGCTTTTTGGCATGTTAAAACTATTATTTTCTGCCTCGCAGCTGGCGAAATTACAGCCTCGCCTACTGATTTTAATTTAACCATAGGATATCGAGCCCGATTGTCGATTTCAAATGTGTGCTCTAAAATGATATTTATAAATGACTATTATCATTATTATAAGCAAGACAATAAATGGCAAAGATATGTAGAAAATAAACGTATTTGAGATAAGTTCATAACAAACGTAACGTGGGAGAAAATATGTTTCTAGAAGATATGTAGAAAATAAACGTATTTGAGATAAGTTCATAACAAACGTCACGTGGGAGAAAATATGTTTCTAGAAGATATGTAGAAAATAAACGTATTTGAGATACGTTCATAACAAACGTAACGTGGGAGAAAATATGTTTCTAGCTAAACGTAATTGAGAATGCAGTTTAGTTCTGTGGGAACGTAATTTTTAGGAGACAGGGTTGGCCCCCCAGCACAACACAGTGGAGGGACAGGGTCAACAAATGTATTTCATGGAGAAACTCACAGCGAGGCCACAGCTGAAAACAGATACGTTTGATGAACATTTTTCATCGTTAATATAGGCAATACAAAAGCTTTTGTTTTTTAATGTATTTTTTTTTATTTCAATTTTGCTTCTCTCTTATTTGTTTTAGTTCACTGTATTTGTATTTATTTATTTAGATTGTACTAAACTAGATATTGTTAAGCTCATATTACAGGTATTATGTAGTCAATACATTGATGTTAAGGGAAAGACACTATTTGAAATGTGATGA